ATTAAAAACAAAACATGTGACGGGATTAAAAACAAAACTGTAATGAGTGGTTTAACCATTTGCTTTGGAAGAGCCACCTATAGGAGGGGAAGGTGTGTGTGGGGGGCAAGATGGTTGGGCACAATATTGTAATTCAGATTCATAGGCGTAAGTTGCCATTGTGTTTGTCTTGACAGTAACCCTAAGACACAGTAAAGCGGGTGCCAGCTGTTTTGCCCCACACTGCCCCGAGCCCCCTGACTCACCATAGGGTCGTTATAACGGGATCTCTCCATCTGCCTTTATCCAGACTACTGACTTTTAAAGCTATCGCCCAGCTATTCATTCTGAGCTGCACGTGGAGTCTTGGTTTCTTCCAAGTTGGCTCAGCAAAAATGGTCATGGCGTATTTATTCACCATTGTCAACAGCCTGCAGGGAGCCTTCATCTTCCTGGTGCATTGTCTCCTCAATCGCCAGGTAATGCCCATGGTGCGTCATCAGCCACCCAGTGACTTCACGGGCCTAGCAGTGGCCTGGTCTGAGGGTGTTAGTTACATGATGTAGTGACCATGTCCCTTATTCTCCAGGTGAGAGAGGAGTACAGGAGATGGATTAAAGGCACAAGAAAAACCAGCCCCACAACTCAAAATTTTACTCTGTTCGTGTCCACTGTCACTACCAGCACCAAGATGGTAAGAGATCCTCTATTCTGTTCCAATACCAGCATCCAAATGTCGCATCCATCCGAGTCTGTTGTAGCTCCTGAGGTGCCTTGTCCCCTGAGTGACACATGCTTGTTTTAATCCATCTGAGAACGGCATTGGGAGTCTTAGTGAGATTCAATTTCATCCAAATCAAGGGGGAATCCCAGGTCTCCTAGAACTCAGCACAGAACTCCTCCTTTCTTGTGCACCTCCATGTTCCCTTCCCTTTGCTTCTTTGCAAGCTCCATGCATCACTCACTGTGGAATGGGCAGGGAAGGTGTTGGCTTTGACACACATTCAGGTAATTATCCAATTGGGGAAGCTTGCAAACCAAAACCTGGGTGGAAATCTTGTCAGTGCAGATGGGCCATCCCCAACGAAGAGTTAGCACTGGATGGAATTTTCTCTGGCTCCGTTGCCTCTACTGGGAAAGGATCCAGAAGTTTTGTCTGGAGGAAAAGTGGAGACTTATATATGGAAAAGCCTCCCTGCTCCAGTCCCAGCATGAGAGGCCACAACCTTTGTCTGGAAGTGGACATTTCTGGTTTATTTAGAGCAGCCTATATTGACTGCTGCTTTATGGCTTACCTGTGCATGGGTGGGGGAAGGGAGCGGGCTTTGTCTACACTTGTTTAGTTATTTTCCTGCACGTGATGTCACTTCAGTGGAGGCTGGCTGAATTTTGCAGACTCTGCACTATTCCTGAATGAGGACCCAGTCCTGATCCCATTAAAGTTGACTGGAGTTTTCCCATGGGATTGACAGTCAATGTATATTTGTTTTGCTGGCAGGTGAGTTGGGGAGAGCCCTCCACTTCATCTCTGTGAAACAATCACCTCTCC